GTGACATTTTTAGCTTTCTTAAGCTTTAATTAATATATGGCATTTACCCCATTTTACCAAATATATGGTAGTAAAAAAACAATACGGAAGAAAATGAAGAGGAGATGAAGAGTTCTGTTCTTGGTGTAGGGAAAGAGAAGCCCCTGACTGCAGCGAATCTAGGAATGTGTTGTGTAATCATTGTTAGGGGAATGCTGGCAAACGGAGTTCATGCTAATACACCTGCAAGCTGGAAGGTACAAGAAGGGGCAACTGTGAGCCTCACCTCTTCCAAATGCAACATAGTCTGTCTTAGCTCACTGGTCTCTGCATCTACCTAGCCTTCAGACATTATTATGCTCCGTTTATGCAGCCCATATTTGAGGTTCATGGTCCAAAGAGTATGCCCTGGTGTGATGATCAGGAACACCAAGTGGCAGATCCAGAGGTTATTGTGCATAGAGGGAGCTGACCTAGGGTTTAAAATGAAGAAGAAATAACTGAACCCATTTTTGCTATTGAGACTCACTTATTTCTTCACAGTCTGTTTCTTTAGTCTTTGGAAGAATGAACCACAGGAGTGTTCATCAGATGTGGTCTCTAGACCAACTGCATCAGAATCATCTGGGGAACTTACCCAAAGTGCAGATTTCTGGGTCCTCAACTAGTCTGCTGAGTCACACCTTCTGGGGTTAGGGCAATCTGCAATTAGAAGAAACTCTCCAAATTTCATGCCCAATAAAATGCTTGAGAACCACTGGCATTACAAGCTTTTTCCAGTACTTATTTTCAGCGTATTCATATCAAAGTGAAGATGACCTAATTCTGATGAAACTCTGGACCAAAGGGAATTAATGAATGCAGAGATAAAACAGCATATGAAATCCCTCATGTATTTTTGTATTTAGGGTATTAATCCTTCTTTGACTGATTGGAGAAAAATTAAATGCTCCAATTACAAAGTCTGAAAGGACTTTGTAGATGCTGGTTGTTACAAGAGGATTCTGAAAGCACGTTATTTTTCTTTATCTTAAGGAAGGAAGACTTACATGTTTTGTCAAGAATGTCAGTTTTTGTGATTTTGTGCTCTAGGCAAACTATCTGAAATCTGACTGAACAGTGTGTATAAAATGAAGCTCTTAGGAAGATAAATGCCTCATCAGAAATGTTAACAATTTCCAGGTTTTCTTTCATATACAGTTAAACAAAAAGTTCCATGTTGT